GGTTCACACTTGTAGGGGGCAGAAGGGCCCAGACCCCTCGGACTAAGGGGCTGGGAGCGTGACCCCCTTGGCACCCCAATTTAACGCAGCACCCTTTCATAGACTGGGAAACTGATAGTGAGGAGCCGACAAGACCACTTAGTGGACGTGGGGGGGGGGAATATTAAGGAACCCGGCGGGCCGGGACAACAAGGTTCGCCTTGCATTGTTCATATTAGTCTTGGGGCGGCCCTGAGGCTTCACAGTCGTGGGGCGGCCCTGGGGCCTGGGCTGGCGCTTTAGGGGGCTTCGCAGTCGTGGGGCAGGCCATCGCCCACCAGAGAGGCGGCCACGGCGCAGTCCAGGTTATTGGTGCCCCACAGTCGTGGGGCCCTTCTTGTAGCAGTAGGTGTCGAATTTCAGTATTGGAAGGTTCGCCCCCGCGGCCGCTACCATTATAGGTGGGTAGCTTTCAAGGGGATAACCGTGCTTCACAGTCGTGGGGCAGCCTGTCGAAAGGTAGTAGGGGAGGGGTTTGCCGAGTAGGTATTGCTATCTAGTCGCGGGGTTATACGTGACCGTAAAGGTAAAGGGATAAGCGAGGGGCAGTGTTAGGGCTTCACAGTCGTGGGGCGGCCCTCCTGTTGAGGGAGGATGAGAGTGGGGTTGTTAAAAGGGCACAGTCGTGGGGCGTTGCTCGCCTGCCTCTCACTGTGAGAGGGGGGTGGGCAAGATTCACGGTCTGGGGGGAAGGGATGAATTGCCACTTAGTGGTGGGGAGACAAGTGACAGCGAAGGGCAAAGGTAAGAGTTTGGCGATTATAAGGCTTCACAGTCGTGGGGCGGCCCTCCTGTTGAGGGAGGATGGGAGTAGGGTAGTTAAGCGGGCTTCACAGTCGTAGGCCGTGTCTCGCCTGGTAGGCATCCGTAGGTAGATTACATAGTACCCGAGTAATAGCGGTCGGGGTACGGCATAGTAGTAGTTCCCACTTGACACAGAGGGGAGTAGTAAGGTAGGCGCAGTAGTTGCCATGTTGTTCGTGCGCAAGCCATAATTGATACCAAAGCACAATGCGATGCTGTTGCGATGTAATGCTATGCGACCCGCGCTCCAGCCTTCCAGCCCTTATGCCCCATGGCCTATGGCCGATGGGGCGGTCCTCCCAGAGGGCAGGCGCATGGCACACGCAGTCCCAGCTATGGGCTATGGGACACGCAGCCCTGATTAATTAAATGGGACGCACAGTCCCTGTTATGGGACACGCAGTCCTGGCAAATGAGACGCGCAGTCTCTGCTATGGGACACACATTCCTGGCTAATGGGACGCGCAGTCCCTGCTGTGGGACACACATTCCTGGCAAATGGGGCGCGCAGTCCCTGCTATGGGACACACAGTCCTGGCAGATGGGACGCACAGTCCCCGTTATGGGACACGCAGTCCTGGCAAATGGGACGCGCAGCCCCTGCTATGGGACACACATTCCTAGCAAATGGGGCGCGCAGTCTCGATTATGGGGCACACAGTCCTGGCAAATGGGACGCACAGTCCCTGTTATGGGACACGCAGTCCTGGCAAATGGGACGCGGGGTCCCTGCTATGGGACACACACTCCTGTCAAATGGGGCGCGCAGTCTGTATTATGGGACACACTGTCCTGGCAAATGGGACGCGCAGTCCCTGTTATGGGACACGCAGTCCTGGCAAATGGGACGCGGGGTCCCTGCTATGGGACACACATCCCTGGCAAATAGGACGCGCAATCTCGATTATGGGGCACACCGTCCTGGCAAATGGGACGCGCAGTCCCTGCTATGGGACACGCAGTCCTGGCAAATGGGACGCGCAGTCCCTGCTATGGGACACACAATCCTGGCAAATGGGGCGCGCAGTCTCGATTATGGGACACACAGTCCTGGCACATGGGACGCACAATCCCTATCATGGGACACGCGGTCCTGGCAAATGGGACGCGGGGTCCCTGCTATGAGGCACACATCCCTGGCAAATGGGACGCGCAGTCTCGAGTATGGGACACACCGGCCTGGCAAATGGGACGCAGAGTACCTGCTATGGGACACGCAACCCTGGCAAATGGGACGAGCGGTCCCTGCTAAGGGACACACATTCCTGGCAAATGGGACACGCAGTCACGATTATGGGGCACGCAGTCCTGTCAAATGGGACGCACAGTCCCTGTTATGGGACACGCAGTCCTGGCAAATGACGCGCGCAGTCCCAGCTATGGGACACACATCCCTGGCAAATGGGGCACGCAGTCTCGATTATGGGACACACAGTCCTGGCAAATGGGACGCACAGTCCCTGTTATGGGACACGCAGTCCTGGCAAATGGGACGCGCAGTCCCTGCTATGGGACACACATTCTTGGCAATTGGGACGCGCAGTCTCGATTATGGGACACACAGTCCTGGCAAATGGGACGCACAGTCCCTGCTATGGGACACGCGGTCCTGGCAAATGGGACGCGGGGTCCCTGCTATGGGACACACATTCCTGGCAAATGGGGCGCGCAGTCTCGATTATGGGACACACCGTCCTGGCAAATGGAACGCAGAGCCCCTGTTATGGGACACGCAGTCCTGGCAAATGGGGCGCGCAGTCTCGATTATGGGACACACAGTCCTGGCAAATGGGACGCACAGTCCCTGTTATGGGACACGCAGTCCCCCGCATTGGAGGATGTCCCATGTAAATCGGAGGTGAGGGGGAGAGATCGAAGTGGAACGGATAGGTGGCAGTGTCAGGCATGGGGGTGGGGGGCTTACCAGCCACCGTGCAAAGGGCCCGCGTGTCGGCCATGGGCGGTCATAGGCCGCGCAGTGGAGGGCATTGGCGCGAGTGTTGCACAGCATAGGCGTGGTAGTAGCCGCATCTTCACAAGTGTTGCATCCAGAACATGGCGTGCCACCATTGTTAGGGCACGAAGCGGTAAAACATTACCCGTGCCTTAAACGACAGCCGTGACAATCCTCCAGCTCCTCCTCCTTCGCCTTCTCGGGTCGGGCTAGACGGGGGGAACAGCGAAGGGGGAGTCAGCGAATCGGCCCACTGCTCTTCCCAGCGCCGCCCAGCCCCAGAGGCGCCACGCCAACGAGTCGAGGAAGACACCCGTTGGCGGCGAAACCAGCTGCACGCACCATTTCGCCCACCCCCCTCATATATTGGACACTCGAACTATACGGGATAGACCTGGTCCTGGTAGGAGCGTTTTTGGGATCCAAAAATATGATCCAGGAAATCCAGAATAACTCCTGTTTCGAGAGACAGGCCGTATCTAACCAGCATGCATACGAGTCAGAATGTTATTCCACGGAAGCTCGAGTTGAGCGCAATCCAGGGCAACCCTGGCCATAAAAAAGACCCGAATCGGGAATTAGTCCTGACCAACCCCTGCTGTGATGACTCAGGGCTCTGACTACCTTCGACCCCCCCTGAGCCAACCCCCCCCTCGTGTTGCCCCTGGCTTTTCGTCCGACCCAACCCGGGGAGCTCTCGGGGCGAGCCCCGGGCGCGCCGCCTCATCACGAGCCAGCCGCGCCGGCGGCCAGCAGGGCGGGGCCCGCCGCGGGGCGCGGCGCTGGGTCGGTGCGCGGTGCGCGATGCCACCCCCTCCCGCGCGGACGGCGAAGCGCGTGCCGCGGCCCGCGCGGCAACAGCCCAGGCGGCGCGGCGAGAGCGCCCCTCATCGTGGACGTCGCGCCGCCGCCACCCCGCCCACATTCGTCCCCAAAGACGACGACATCGTCGACGTCGTAGCTGCTCCTCCTCCTTTTCCTCCTCCCCCCCATCCTCCTCCTCCTCCTCCTCCTCCTCCTCCTCCTCCTCCTCCTCCTCCTCCTCCTGTTTATCCTCCTCCTCCTCCTCCTCCTCCTCCTCCTCCTCCTCCTCCTCCTCTTCCTCGTCCGCGCCTGTCCCCAATCCTCAGCTGGCGGTCTCATCCGGATGCCGCACTTAGATGCTGGGTGTCTGCCTGACCTTGGGCTTAACAAACGCACACTGCCGCATTGACAGGCCGTGCGAGGGTCCTGCCTGTCCTGCCGCATGTGCTAGGCCGTTTCGACCCTCACTGGGAAATACTTGATACGTGGCGCGATGGCCACAACTCCGAATCAGCGCGCTGACATCTCACAATGGAAGCATGTAGCAACAGGTGTTGTTCATGGCGACGGCCTCCATCACTCCATAGCCTGCGACCAGAAGCTGCCAAAATATGAATGCCATCTTGATGCCCAAAAACAACAAAATGCGTCAGCGGCCTAATATGACGTTGTCATACCCCGCATCCCGATCAAAATCCCTACGCCGCCATATCACTGGAACTCGTTTTGGCCCATCTACATGTCCGTCATCTGTCCCTCCTCCTCCGTCCCCTCCCACTAGCCCTCCCTCCCGCTGGTCGCGGGGATGGAACCCCCACCGCGTTCTCAAGGGGTGGCCCTGAGCGAACGCCCAACGAATATCTGATTTTACACTGAGGCCGGCCATCCTTCGGGGCCCGCCCGCATGCACATGCGTGTCTACAATTTGCCCCTCTATCGACAGCAAATCGTGGCCTTCTCCTGCCTCCTCCCCCTCCTCCTCCTTCTCCCCCTCCTCCTCCATCTCCTCCATCCTCCTCCTCCTCCTCCTTCTCCTCCTCCTCCTCCCCCTCCTTCTCCCCCTCCTTCTCCTCCTCCTCCTCCTCCTTCTCCTCCTCCTCCATCCGCATGCCCCCCTCCCCGACACGGCCTCACCCCCCGCCTAGAAGGCCCGCAGAGGGCGTTTTCCTTTCCCAAAAGGTCCGCCTCCCCTGCAAGAGGCCAGGGCCACCTCGCCCTGTCCCAGTTTCGGGTGCGCCGAAGAGGGGGCCAGGAAGATGGGGAGTGGCGCATCATGGCCCGAGGCATGCGCGCGGACGAGGGGGACCAGAGGGCGTGCTGAAAGAAGGGGACGGGCTCTCATGGCCTAAGCCATGTCCTCACCAGCCCTCTTCGCCCTCCCCCCCACCCCGAATTTCGTGCGCCGCCGACACGACATGCGGGGGGCTGGGGCTTCTCCTCGCAGCCTCCGCCGCCCAGCGCGCCCTGCGCCGCCTCCTCAGCCGGAGCACGACGTGCTCCACCTCGCCTCTGAGCACGGGCTCTTCCTCGCCGCCTCCGCCTCGCGTCTCGGACGCGCCGCCGCTCGCCGGCGCCGACCCGGGCCTAAGCGCCTCTGAAGGGAGGACAAACGGCAGACACACGGTGGGCTACCAGGATGCAAGACACGAGGGTGAGCCAGGTCACCTCACTTCGCGTCTCGCACAGCGCGAAGCGCGATGCGCGATTACCTTCGCGCTCTCGTGCCGCACGCGTGGAGCAGAACGGTCTCCGCCCCAAACCGCGAGGCGCGAAGCGCAACTATCTTCGCGCCCCTGGGGGTGGCTGAGATGTCAGGCCCTTGTACTGTCGTGTTTCGACGATGTCAGCGGCATCATGCAAAAGTGCAGGGCCGAACGGACAAGGATGCAAGGGCAACCTTGATGGAGCTCTGCGTCCTTACCAGAGTCGAAGCATGTCCACCTGGACGTAGGTCAAGAACATGAGCAAGTTTGCAGAAGACCAGAGGCTCCATGGAGATACCCAAAACTGTCGGGTGAGAAAGGCCAGCCCTCTTCGCAGCAGTCCAACTGTTGGCCCGACGTCGGCACGCAATGTGTCATGTCCATGTGAGACTCCCTCGAAGAAACATCCGTATGCTTTGATGTTGATGCTGATTCTGACGCGAATCCGTGACGCAGCATGCGCAGAAAATGGCCTTAGTTGAGATTCCATCAGTGGTGTGAGACTCTAAAGCTCGCAACGACGCGGGAGCGCGCAGCCAAATAAGCAAGAGCAAACTACTTCAGGCCCCTTCCATATTTGTTTAAATTTGTCGGACTATCAAAAAATGTATCAAACATCATCTCAAATCTTGGTTCCTGCAAACGACCTGTGATGAGTCGGAAACTAAATTTTGAAAGGACGTCTACAAGCACTGACAGGTTGATACCTTTGACCACTGTCCAATCATCGCAGCTTGTTGCGGTCACTCGCGACCCGGTGCGAACGAACATGAGCCGTATTGTTCACCCACTCGTTACGACGCTTGCACTGGCACTGGAAAGTGTTTAGACCGTCGTTAAGGCGACGTGTCAGAACCATGTGCAGAACACATCTGTGCATACTCTCATTAAGGGGCATGTCGCCGTGGTGGTGATTGGTTCCATCACCATGTTTCCTTGCGGACCGCTTTCCTCCAGGACCCCTTTCACCAAAGAGCCCTTGACCTTCATGGCACCCCCCTCCCCCTCCTCGCCCCCGCCGTGCATGTATGCCTCCCTAGGGCCTCTGCCGAACGCACCGCTGGGTCCTCGGCCTCGTTGGCACCTACCTCTCCGAGGCGCACAAGCACGCTGACGACCGCGCCCTGGGAGAGGTCGTGCTGGGCCGTCCTGGCGAGGGGGGGCCTCCTGGAGGTTCTCGGAGGCTACAGTACCTCCTGGAGCAGCAGACAGGAAATCGCGACGGCAGATTTCACAAGATCAACACAAAGACAGGATGAAGACAAATCAAGACCGAGATATACCGAAGACCTAATATGTCTGGCGGACTTGGAAGATGCATCGGGCGGTGCGGTCGCTCCAGAGCGCTCCGGACTGCTCTGAGAGCGCCCTTGAAAGCCCTGCAGCGATTGATCTTTCTCCTGGGCCTGCCTGCACCATGTTGCGGCCTCCGGGTGCCAATTTCGGCCCCCAATACCATGTGCAAAAGCTACCCGCGACGGACAAAATGGCCTCGGGCACTAGGGTCGTCAGCTCCAGAAGCTTCGAGAGCATGCGGCGTCGGAGGTCTGAGTACGTATCCACTCGCACAAATCCTCGCCAGGCCAATCCTGGGCCCGCGATCGGTGAGTCCAGACAGGAGGGGGGGAATCCATCGATCCTAGCTCCGCTCCGCCTGCTCCTCCTGCTCCTCCCTCCTCCTTCCCCCCTCCCTCGTCATCCCTCCTCCAATTAATCTTCCTCAACCTCCACGACGCAAGAGAGGGAGGAGGAGGAGGAGGAGGAGGAGGAGGAGGAGGAGGAGGAGGAGGAGGAGGAGGAGGAGGAGGAGGAGGAGGAGTGATTGCGACGAGCAGGAGGGAGCGCGGTTGGAGGACGACGGCGAGGAGGGCAGATGGGAGAGGAACCAGGGGATGGCGATGGAGAGGAGGGGAGACAGATGAGGGCCGAGGGACGGGGAGGGGGGGAGGGGGCGGCGGACACCGAATTGCAAGAGGCATCCCAGGCGCGCGGTCCGCTCGAGACCCCAGCCGCCCCAGGGCGGCACGGGCGGCCGGCGGTTGTTGAACAGCAGGTGGTCCAGCCTCCAACGGCGTGTACATAGGAGCAAAGAAAATCGGCACCACCATCACCATCCCGAGCAGCCAGGGAGGGTCCTCCTGGTGATGCGGTCCCCCTATTTGACGGCGTCCCCCCCCCCCCCCGAGACACTTCCAATCTCCAGCTCGGGGAGGGATCGTGGACCTCTTCGCTGGAGGCGGCCTGCTGGTGGTGGCGGTGTCGCTTGACCTCCCTCCGACGCACATCCCACCTTCCCCAAACCTCGAACGCACAGCGAAACAATGAACGGAACGTGTCGCTGTCTTTCGGGCGCTAGGGCTATTCCAAAAACAATTCGGGACGAACACCAACCCCAAGGCAGGGGCCGATAACTCAAAAACATCGGAGAGCTGGGTGGCCACATCCCCTTCTCACTTCGAGACTCGGGAAATTCCAGCTGTCGGACGGCGCTGCGCTTTTTCGCGTCTTCGGGGGAGGGCGGAGGCACCACCATGCGTTCAGTGACCTCTGGATATCTCCCCCTCCAAATCCTGCCGCTGCCCCCCCGACTCCGCCGTATCCTCCTCCACCCGCTTCTGGAAGCTCTGGATCTTCGGAACGCGTGTCTCGCAAACGAAAAGTTGCGTTGAGTGGGTTTCCATGTTTCCTCACTTGGCAGTTCAGTGCGCCAGCTTAGAACGCAGGTTTCAAGGGTAGGAGGTCGCAGAAGAGGGGGGGCGCGCGCTCAAGCCTTTTTTTGACTCGGCAGCGCGCCGAGCTGCCCCTCCTTCGACGGGAGGGGGGCCCTCTGCGGGGTGCCACAGCCATGCTGGTAGCCGCCCCGCCTGGCTCGCGGTCCCGGCACTGGACACCGCGCTGCGCTGGGGCGCGGGCGCAGAGGCCGCCGCTGGGCTGCCCACACACACCGCTGGACCCCCGCCCAGCGGATGGCGCCGCCATGGCGCCCAGTCCCAGCATCTGGCCCTCAGCATGGGCGATCTGACCGCTGGCCCGGGAAGGCTGTGGATGGCGATTGACGGGCTCAGGCGTCGGGGCGGTGCTCCCCAGAGGAAGAAGCCTGTCACGCTGAGGATGATCAGGCGGATCAGCAAGAAGCTGCACCCTGAGGTCCTGGGAAAGAGCAGTTCTCCTGTGGGCCAGCGAGTACGTGTCCAGCGACCAGAACGGCCACGCGAGCAGCAAAAGCTTGCGGGGAGTGGACGTCACGCCGAAGAAAGGAGGTGAGCCAGGCAGAAGTTGGCTTGACGCAGACGAGGCGGTCATCAAGATCAAGTAGGGCCAGCAAGACGGACCAGTACAATCGCGGCGAGTGGAGACGCTCGACTGTGGGTCGTGGAGGCCCTGATCATCTACGAGGGCTGGGCGAAGAAGAGGTTCTCGGGCGCGAGGATGATGCACGACCCTTTGTTTGCCTTCAGCGACGAGAAGCTCGTCGCGCGCGCGGACGTCCAGAGGATGGGGATGCAAGCAGCCGTGGCGAAGGAGTTGATGCGAATGACCTCGGCCCGTGCAGCCTGAGGATTCGCGGCGAGTCCGCCCTGTGCGCAGCGTTCGAGGACACGGCGCTCGTGCAGAGGTGGGGGCAATTGAACAACGACGATTTCAGGGCTACCTCTGGGAGGCGAGGGGCATGGCGCGGGGCGTAGCCAGCGGTATGGCTTCCGCAGACTTGACTATGGCCCGAGGAGGGGACGCAACGGGTGGCCGCACAGGAGCCTTTGAGGCTCGGGTGCAGGGCGGCTGTAGACGCTTGTAGAGACGGCGGCCCGAGGCCGGCAGCGACAGCGCGGGCCAGGGCGCGCAGCGGCAAGGCTGCCAGGATTTCCAGAATTTCTTGGGGTCTAAAAGGCGCTCAGGCGCCTGAGGCGGATAGGAGTGCTGGGAAGTGGCCGGGCCAGGTCCCCCCAGTGCGGGCGGGGGCCTCCGAGGGGGGCCCCGCGGCCCGCGCAGCGGCGGCCAGAGGCGGCAGAAGGGCGGCTGGCGCAAGGAGCATGGGGGGGGGGCATCGCCCAGGCACAGAGGTGGAAGGCCTTGCGCCGGGCGGGCGAGCTCGCGCCCATCGGGCGCCCTGTGGCATTCAAGTAACAAGGGCGTCCTCATCCTCCTCGCCGTCGCCATCGGCACCTGCATCGAGCGAATCGAGGGTGAGGAAAGCGAACTGACTGGCAAGACCTTGGATACGGTTCAGTCGATCGGGAAAGGTCGGATGCCACGATCCGCATGAGGTGAAAGGCGAACTCGAGGAGCAAGACGCGCAATATAATTGGCCCCGTGGCACGTTTCCGGTGAGCGCGGGCGAAGCGAAGCGCGCGCGATGGTTCTAGTCAAAAACCCCAAGACGGCAGTCCGACCTATCATTTGGACTCCTGCCTTTGGGTATGAAGTGGCTTTCGACAATGGCCGAAGAGGTCGCCGGATACAAAGGAGAAGATGCAACTGGGCCTAACACCGGGTCACATTGGCCTAGTCCTGTGATTTTCTCGGCGGGGCACCCAAAGGGGTGTGGGCGTGGAACTCGCCGGGCTAGGGCTTGCCATTCCCTGTTCTCGAATGCTTCTGTCCCTGATTCCTGTCGTTGTTGCGATTCTAGATTACGCGATGGCCGCGGTCGTCGGAGTTGGTTTTGGACGCGTTTGGTTTTGGACGGGGGTGGTTTTGTCCGCGATGTGTTCTCTCCGCCGCCCGCGAGCGCGTCGCCGTCGTCGTCGTCCGCTGTCGGGGGGTTATCGTCGTCTGTAGATCCGTCGGTCGGTCGCCCTCCCTCCTCGTCCTCCTCCTCGTCCTCCTCCTCCTCCTCCTCCTCCTCCCCCGTCTTCCTCCTCCTCCTCCTCCTGCTCTTGCTCCTCCCCCGTCCTCATCCTTTTCCTCCTTCTCCTCCTCCTCCTCCTCCTCCTCCTCCTCCTCCTCCGGCTCCTCCTCCTCCTCCTCCTTCCTCCTCCTCCTCCTCCTCCTCCTCCTCCTCCTCCTCCTCCTCCTTCCTGCTCCTGCTCCTGCCCCTCCTCCGCCTCCTCCCCCTCCTCTTCCCCCTCCTGTTCCTGTTCCTCCTGTTTTGCTCCTCCTCCTCCTCCTCCTCCTCCTTGTCCTCCTCCTCCTCCTCCTCCTTCCTCTCCTCCTCAAACATGCGTCAATAATCAGAAATGATTTACGTGTTCCGTCTACCTACCAGGGATCTGCGATTCATGTGTTTTGTCCCCAATGGTACTCCGGTCACACTAAACTCTCCAAACTCAGGATGTGCACCTCGCGAAGCGGGTGGAATCGCAAGGACAAATGAGATGCCCTTTTTGTATCGCAGGAAGGCCCGACGCATGATCATGTGCACTGCATGCAGGGTTTGTGCGCGCGCCTAAATCTGGCCCCCCTGCCAGCTCGGGCGGACAAAAGCAGCAACGGTGCAGGCATGGATCATTCAGTTCTCGGAGTACATGTCTAGGCTCGTCAGATTGGACGCGCACTGATGCCGACGAACATTACGGCAATGGCCCCAGGCTCGCACTGGCTCCAGACCGATGATACAAAAATGCGTGATGCTTATATATACATATAAATAATAAATATGTATATCCCTGGCTGTGCAACCAGACGCACAAGGCACTGCTGCAACTGATTCTGCAAGGCTCTACACGTGCTGCGCCACGCGGGACAGCGAGGCAGGGGACAGAACACGACATAATATCACGGCAACGCATGTTTTACGCTCAATCGTGCCTGTCGGGAGTGTGCTTCACGCTCGGGAGCATGCCTCCACGGTCCTGCTAGGCTGCATCGTGTTTCACAGAGCCTCCCATGGAAGGGCGGGTGCGACTGCTAAACCATGCCGCCCTTCCTGTCGGTGAACGACCTCTCACCGAAGGACTGCATGCAGGGCTTGCCATATTGAATTCGAGAATGTGTTACCCAAGAAATTTCCTGACCCAATATTTGCTGTGGATGTGGTTGTGCTTGCAATCTCTGGTCCTGAGGATGGTACCGCAATATCCTTTTCGAAGTGCTGGGGTTCGCGGTACCACCGGAAACCTCAAGAGCCAGCCTCGGAAGCCAAATACCTGCATGCCAGCATGCATCCCGAACCACGGCGACGAGCCCTGCGCCGTAGCCCACACTGCAAGCGACGCCACGTTGGACGACCCATAGCGCAGGAGGTTGCCCCACGAAGGCACAAAAGCCGGGACGATACCACCCGTGAAGTAGCCCTCGAAGACGTTCTCGGGAACCGCGGGCTTGTCCACGATTCCAGGCCCAGAGATGCTTACAAACAGGTCCCACAAATACCAGTCCCAGAATTTACATAGAAGCTGGGCGCCCAGGAAAGAGAACGAGACAAAGAGCTTGCCCCCAAGGAACGCAAGAGTACTGGTCGCCATTTCGCGACGGTCGCAAACAAGTTGTTGGGGAGGAGGAGGAGGAGGAGGAGGAGGAGGAGGAGGAGGAGGAGAGCGCGGCCACACGAACTCCACACAACGCGGCTGCCACCATAGTGCGAGAAAGTTCAACAGCAACGTGAAGGAAAGACTCGAAGTAGGATGTGCATTAAAGTCGCCACACGAGCGCACGCCACAACGCGTGCGTCGACCCCGCTCGGCAAAGACCCCCGGGTCGGGCAAAATGCTGCACGCGGGGACGGGATGCCGCGGGAAACCAAAATACACAAGATAATCCGAAGGAGCGGGGGAAGGAAGAGTGGGGAAGAGACGCGGGAGGAAAGAGGAGGGGGAGGAATGACGCAGGGATACGCAGGGAACCGAAACAAAGTCCGGCGATCCAAGCGGTAGTGTACAAGAAAAGCCTAAAGGCCCTGAGGAAGCCGTGAATAACCACGAAAGCTACGATAACCGGGTGATGCTACTCGAATGCACAGCGGTGAATACATGTGCATATCAGTGAACATGGTAGCAAACTGGGAGATGGAGGGTGCCGCGCGCGGGCCTATACCGCAAGCGCAGCAGGCGGACCGCAGCCACGCAAGGCTGGCGGCAGGGATCACCGGGGCGCCATGGTGGCGCTGCAGAGCCCCCGCGGCCGGCCATTGTGGGCGGCGAGCCGCCACCTCCCAAAGGAGCCCCCCTGCAGGCCTGGACAACGCTGGCTTGCGCCGAGGCCACAAGACGGCGAGGGGAGAGGAGAAGAGGGAGCGGAGGGGAGGCAGAGCAGCAAGGGAAGGAGGGAAAAGGGAAAGACAGGCTGCCTCACTAAGCCACGCGGCTCGATCCACCACCGCACCTCACACCGAGGGGCACGCCGCCTCCTTAGCCAGACCTTTCATGAGGACCGCGGCCTTCGCGAAGTTCGGAATCCCCATGGCCCCCGCCAGCTCCACCATCTTCTCGCTGCCCTTGGTCAGCTCGGCCACCACGCATTCCAAAGAGAGGGAGCGGTCCCAGGCCAGCAAAATCATATTGTAGGCAACCCGCTCCAACTTTTCGTCCGCCTTCTCGCAGGTCTTGGACCAAGCCCACGTGAGCGTGGCCGTAGTGGTAGCCAAAGGCCCTGGACAATCTCGGAACGGCACCAGCGGTGAGGGGAAGAGCAGCCCGGACGTCATGAGCTGTCCCCCCTTCTTTTCTATGGCATCTCTCACTGCAGATCTTCTCATATACGAGCTTCATGGTCGGCTGCTTCGCTCCCTCGCGCCGTTGCTGTAGGAGCCCGCCGAGGGCATCGGCCAGATCGCTCGTGTGATCAAGCGACGCCGGGTCATCTCCAAATCTACGGCGGCACGCCTCCTGCGGCTCGATGTCGCGTTCCACGTGACCAGGAACATGCATGCGCAGAAGGCCGACGTCACTTTCAACACCGTGATGAAGGAGGTGGCGACCAATCTGGAGCGGCCCCTGGCCACGGTCTCGTTGAAGGCCAAGGACTTCACCGACACGGATTGTTCAAGTCATGGCGATGGCAACCTCGACCCCGACGGTTACGAGCCAGAGCCTGACGGGGATGACGATGAGGCGTCCGATTGCACGACAGTGCACTCCAACGTCCAGTACGACAACAAAAACCTTGGCACCGGCAAGGAACCTGACAAGGAGACTGACATCGCGACGCAAACGGAGCTCAAGCTCCACCACTCCGTTGAAGCTGACGGCAAGGAGACTGGCATCGCGACACAGACGGACCTCAAGCTCCACCACTTCGCGGAGGCTGACGGCACCAACATGGATAGGGCAGATGTGGCGGCCTACGAGCTTGACTACTTCGGGGAGGCGGACCCTGCCTATTGCGTGGCCAGCAGCTCGGAGTAGAGCACAGTGGACTTGGACGTCTCCCCCACCACCACGGGCCCCGGCGGTTCGGAGCAGAGTGCCGCGGACGTGGTCATCCTCACGACCCTCACGGACCAGCACAATGTGGTGCAGCTCGACGAGCAAGGGGTCCCGTCCGTCACGCTGCCCGACGAGCCGCCCGAGCCAGAGGTGCAGCCCGACGAGCACGGCCAGGGCTTCGACAGCCAGGGCTCCGAGACCGAGGACGCCGACGATGACGTGAAGTCAGGAGGCCTCGAGCTGCAGTGGGAGTACATGGACGCGCGCGGCGCGACCCAGGGGCCATTCTCCCAGGAGCAGATGAGAGAGTGGTTCGAGGCGCGCGCGCTCCCCAAGGGCCTGCCGATGAGGACGAATCCCGACACGCCGTTCATAAGATCGCATACAAAAATGCCAAGCTGGATCGCACATCCGAGAAATAGACAAGGCCGTATAAGCAGATGTGATACCGTTCTTTCAGCGGCGGGCGAATGTGCTTCATGCCACCCTCGAACCTCACAATTGGATCTCCTCGTGGGAAGTCGACGCGAGGCTCCCATCGTCCTGGAGGTAGGAGAAGAACTCGCCCAGATATGCTAGACTTAGATCCCTCCTCCTCCTCCTCCTCCTCTTCCTCCTCCTCCTCCTCCTCCTCCTCTCCCTCCCCCTCCCCCTCCTCCTCCGTGGCCATTTTGGCTCAAGCTGGCCTCAAGCCCCCTGGTGCGCCATTTTCCCGTTCGGCATGTGGCGTCTGGTGCTGGCTTTTTGAGGAGATGGATCCACGGGACGGCATGGGAGATGCATGCCAAAGGCCCCGTCGTACCGCGGCCGACCGTCGGGTGCGGCGCGAGTGGGCCAAAGAGTGCGCGGACAGGGCTATCAGGAAGATGTCGGACGAGCTGCAGCGCTCGCGTCTCCAGCTCAAGGAGATGCAGGCCTCGCTTGCGGAGCTCTTCGGCAACGGCGAGATCTGGGACAGGATCCTCGCGGTCGTCCCGGCCTTGTCCGCCTTGCTGGCCGAGCAGGCCCCCGAGCATCTGGACGTGCTCAGGCGGAACGTGGCCCTACATTCGCGCGGGAGCCGTGCCTTCCGCTTCTCCGCGGCTTCGGCGGAGCAATTGCGAGGGGCTCAGCGGGGACCGCGACTGGGCCGAGCGGCTCCGACGTTTTCAGCTCCCGATGCGGCAGTGTCTGCTGGTGGCGATGTCGAGGGCCTCATCGGCTGCGTGGCGCCGCCCTTCGAAGAGGGAGAGGACGACCACGATTTGGAGAGCTCGAAGTTCAACATGGACTTCTACACGCCTCTCCGTAGCGCGGCACGGCCTTTCGTGCCCGCGAGACTCGACGAGGGGCTGGAGGCGGAGGAGCGCGAACAGACCCACGTCGACCAGCTGCTCAGCGCGCTGGGCGTCGACATCACGAGCAAGGTGGTGCAGATCGACAGCGGCGGCGAGCTGGCGCAGCAAAGCGGCGAGTCGAGGACCTTCGACGACTCGGAGGTGCCGATCGTCGACGTCGGCGGTGGCGTGCCCTTCGGTGACGAGGGCGCCGCAACCGACGGCAGCGAGCCGATAGACAGCATCGCGGAGCTGGAGGAACTACTCCGTGGCGCCACGGAGCAGGTGACCACGGCTTCGTACGTGATCGCGGTCGGGCAGAGCGACGGCGCCATGGCGACGCAGGCGCAGCACGACGAGCTCGATGCATGATCGCGCTCGAGGAAAAGCTCGCCTCCGCCAAGGCGGCTCAGGCCGGCTCTGGGGCCGTGAAGGCCCCGCACGCGCCGCTGGATGGAGACCGCCCCCCCGAGAGCGGGGTTGCTGCTGGTATCGAGAAGGACTCCGAGGGCGGCGACAACGGCATCGAGCAGGTGCCGATGGCCGACAGCGAGCCCCCCGTCGAGCACAGCAACGTCGGCGAGCCTTCTTCGAGGAGGGCGCCGAGGCCGACGAGGGGTCCAGCACGGTGGACTCCAGCGAGTTCGCCTACCCCACGGGCCTCACGTACATCTCGGGGCCGGAGGCTGTCGCGGCGCTCGCGCGCCGCGCGGCGGACCTGGCGGCGCTCTTCGCTGGCGTGGAGGCGGCTGCCCGTGGTCGATGAGGCCGAGAGCGGCGAGGTGTACTTCGTGGACGAGGTCGGCGTGGGCAGAGCCTGGGGTTAAACCCAGGCTCGGCCTCTGAGGAAGGGATCTGAGGGGTCCCCGCGAATTCGGTTGCATGACCCTCCTGGGTCGAGTCTTGCCTCCCCCTCCTCCTCTTCGTCCTCCTCCTCCTCCTTCTCCGCCTCCTCCGCCTCCTCCTCCTCCTCCTTTCCTCCTCATCATCCTCCTGCTTCTCTCATCCCCCTCCTCGCCCCCCCTCCCCAGGTTCTTCCCAAAACCCTTGCGCCATTGCAGCACACCGCCCTTTCATGGAGAACCCCGCCGAATCCGAACACCAGACACTCGAAGAACTCTGTGAAACATAGCCCCAGCCTCGAATATCCCACCCAAAAGGCTTCCCATGTAGCTACCCCAACAAATCCATTGCTCGATCTTTTCGTTGTCCAATGCTCGGCCTTTCCGTTTCCACGGGTGGGAAGCAGCGTTTCCAGGGTTGGTGGCAGCTCGGATTTCCAGGGTTGAGACCTCGTTTCTCGGGTTCGGACTTCAACCCAATCCATCCCTCTCTCGGTAATCTCGTCCTCACCCTCCTCGCTTGCTCTCATGGGATACTGTCGCGACACAAAGACCCACCCTGCGACATCCCCGCTGTTTCAGGCGGCCCGTACTCACCCGCCAAGCTCGGCGATGACCAGCACCCCGCCGAACCGCAGCGTCTGCGCGGCGCGCGCGATCGCCAGCCGCCGCTCCCGCCTCGTCGGCATGGAACGCAGCACGTGCGAGAGCACCGCCCCGTCGAAGTGCCGCAGCGGGAGCGCCGCGCAGCGCTGTGGGTCCGACGGCTCCAGGAGAGCGGCGCCGATGCCTGAGCAGGGCGCCAGCTGTGTATGCAACCACCTTCACCGACTCCCGGCCGGGCCCCGGGCTGGCCCGGCCAGAGGCGGGCGCAGGCTGCTGGGGCAGTTGGGGCCCCCTGAATGCCGTCCCGCAGCGGAACCTCCAGGAAGTCCGCCTGGAGCACGGATGGGCCTGCGGGAACCAGGTCGACCGCCGTGACCTCCGGGAACTCGCCCTGAAGAGGGTTGTAGCTGGACCCGATGTCCAGGATCCTTCGATATGGATGAAGAATCTTAACACAAAATAGGAGCGAGGCAGAGGTGCAGGAAGCGAGAAGAAAGCGGGGGTTGGAGGAAGTGGAGGAAGCGAAGAGGGGAAGGGGGCAGGTGAGCAGAAGGAAGGAGGTGACCCGGGAGAACGAGCAGGAAGAGGGAAGAAAAAGTAAGATGGGGAGGAACAGGAGGCCGAGAAGGAAGAAGGGAGGGCAAAAAAGAGATGGGGGGATGATGATGCGGAAGAGGACGACGAGGGTTTTTTTTTACTCGACGAGTGGGGCTGTGTGCCGACTGATGGGAGTACATGTGAGGCTTGTGGAGCCCGTCGCTGGACCGCACTCTCGCGGATCCTGTCCTGGTCAGCTATGCAGGCTGGTGCGCACGCTCGATCGATGCTGCAACTCGGGCGCGGCGGAGGCAGGCTGCAAACGAGGGGGGAGGCACGCACGCCTCTGGCAGCGGAAGCCGCGTCTCGATAGGAACTGGGTCCCCGCCTCTGGGACAGAGCTATCTGCACATAATCACGGAAGGAGGAAGAGGACAGCGAAGAGGACAAGGAGAAAGGAGCACGAGGGCAGGACGAGGAGGAGGAGCAGGACGACGAAGACGCGGAAGAACGGGAGAAGGACGGCGAAGAGGACGAGGATGAGCAGGACGAGGCAAGCGATAGCCACGAAGAGGGAAGAGGACGAGGACAAGGATAAAAGAGAAGGAAGACGCCGGGGGAATGATCCTCGAGGCTCCAGCGTCCCGGAGCGCCTGTATGGCGCTGGCCATGGCCTCCTGGTGCCAGATCGCGGAGCGCTGCGCGCCGACCGCCTGTCCGTACTCCTCGAGCGTTATTCCGCGCGCGTCCCCCCAGTCCTGCTCGGCGGCGCGCACACGTGGGGTGGCGCGAGGGGCAGGGGCCTTCTTCTTACTCAGCAAGGTCTGAGGCTTCCAAAGGGCGAAGGGTGGGAAGTCCCGTACATCCGTAGAAGCCCCACGCCTGCGTAGAAGACCACCACCCTCGCGCCACCCCCTGCGTGCGTGCCGCCAACCTGCTCCACGAGCTGCTTCCTATTGCGCTCGCCGAACCTATGTCACCGCCAGGAGAAGTGTCCACATCCACAGCAGTACGGCCAAAATTCTTATAGAGCGATGGACACATGGGCACTCCCGCCATCAGGAGCCGGCAAGCGTCCATGTCCACCGAACCCCAGATGTCCTGGAGCACAACTCTGACCCCGACGCTGTGGGTATGGGCAAATTACGGCGGTGGACCTGATGCGCCTGTAGTGGTGCAGCTTGGTGGGCCCCAGCGTATCCAGGCGTTCCAGAAGGGCCGCATAATCAGTTTCCTCTCGGGATGGACAAGGAGGGGGGGAACGAATCAGCTACGTGTGCCTGGTGCTTCGGGCACCTCGAGCCGCCGAGCTCGACCACGTATCGTGGAACGAGCTGGGCGGCGGGGCCAAAACCAGCTGCACGCAGGAATTCTCACAGCCTCCCCCGAGACCCTCTTTTTCATCGGGGACGGACTGCCGACCCGGGTTCAGCGCTGACCCTGGTCAGCCATAAGTCACGCTGGGGACACACGCTGGCCACGAAGCAGGTCCCAAAACAGTGTCAGCGGAGGGAAGGGAGGGGGGGCGGCCTCAAACTGCCCCAAAAGCCGAATCAGCTTGAGAATATCAGGCGGGACTGGCTGACCCCGCACAAGGCTGACTCCCGTCACCTGCGCCCCTGCGCCACCCATTTCAGGCCCACTGATCTTCCTCTCCAACTCGCTCGCCCGCGTCTGGGCCCAGCAGCTCCAACTCCCAGCCGAGCTCCAGTGCGGCGGCAAGCTTGCGCAGCCGGCGGTGGCAAAGGAAGGAGACGCGTTCCTCCCCCTCGCCAGGGTTCGCCTCTTCCACCTGAACAACAAAATCAAAAATGTAATCAACGAACAACAAATGCACGCGCGCACACACAAACCCACACACACACACAAGCACCCACACACACACACACACACATATACACACGCGTTTCCTCAGCCAACCCTGCCAGATCGCCGCGGCGCGCCTGCTTCGCGAGCTTGCCGCGTGACGGCCCTGATGAATTGGATATAGCTTCAAACATATTTCTACCGACTGTGCCACTGCTCCCGCGTCATGCCCTAAAACTCAGACGTAAGGCCGATGTAGCCGCCCCAAGAACCCCACAATCTTTGTTTCACGACCTCCGCCCGACGCACCGCTGCGGTACCGCCACCGCTGGCGCGGTGGGAACACCGCGCTGACCCCGACCATCTGCACCCCTTTGAACACATCCGCACAATACTGCGCCTGCACGTCCAGGCCAGCCGGCATCGACGACCCTGATCCCGACAGACCCGTTGGTTGGTTCCAGCCCGACACCAGGTCCAAATAGAAATCCGAAGAGATCAACGAGGCCGGAATGAAACTGACCCTCTAAAAAGACGCACGCCTATCACAAAACGGTTGTCCATGTACCGATTGGCACTGCAAGCGCGCCACCGCCCTGACATGGACAGAAGCATGGCTTTCCTCCACGCTCGCGCGACATTGCCGATAGCGGTCTCCACGCTTGAGACCAGTAGCGGTCGCCACACTGAAGACGGGGGGCGCAAAGGCGACCCTCAGAACGCTCCGCGGATCTGCCGCACCATCTCCCTCGCGCAATCGAATACATACTGACGCATGAACAGCATGGCGAGGCATGGGAATATGCACGCCAGCCGTGTCCCTGACGATCCCATGCAGCGTTTTTCTCTTCAGATCCCCTGGGGGGCAATTGGGATCAAGTCCTCAGCCGCCTTCGGCTTTTGCTCTTCGTCCCTCCCACTATCGTTACGCCGTGAGAACTCTGTCATCATGTCGTCGTGGCACTTCAAACATATGGATTGGGGCACCGACGGGGAAAACCTGTGAGGCTTCGCTCCGAAAGATGATATCCAAGCCATCGCCCCCGTCGCCTTCTGCCTTCGCCCATGCCCTGACCTCGGAACTGAAGCAACGCAACTGGTCGGGCCACCCCACCCGTTGTAGCAGCATGGAACGTAAAACCCTGGAGCACCTCATCACACATGTCTTTGAATGTGTTCCCCACCACCTAGTGCAGGTTCTTGACTGGGCGCCCCACAAACTCAATGACGCCTCGAACGGTGGTAAAACCATCATGCATTTGGGGATGAAATTGCAACCAAATAGTAGATCACGAGCAGGCGCCCTCAATGTTCACATGCAATGTGCTTGCCCGCCGGGGGACAAGCGCGACCACACGGCGCATTGCCTCGGAGGACGTTGACCTTTCGACCCGGAATACGCCTGGACTGACGAATAATAAAATTAGCCTGGCGAAGTACCCAACCATATGCAGTTGTGGGTATCGCATTCGGGGGAGCTCCGTATGGGGCCACGAAACGCTGTGCTGGGTGTGGCGGACGCATGCGCCCCCCCCACTGGGGCCTTCGGTGTAGCTCCCTATGGGGCCACGAAACGCCGTGCTGGGTGTGGCGGACGCATGGGCCCCCCCCCACTGGGGTGCTGGGTGTGGCGGACGCATGGCGCCCCCCCCACTGGGACCTTCGGTGGAGCTCCCTATGGGGCCACGAAACGCCGTGCTGGGTGTGGCGGACGCATGGCGCCCCCCCCACTGGGACCCTCGGTGGAGCTCCCAAGAGGAGGGAGGAGGAGGAGGGAGGAGGGAGAAGGGAGGAGGGGGAGGAGGAAGGAAGGAAGGAGAGACGCGGGGCATCGTTTCTTCCAAACGAGGACCCAACACCACAGGATGGTTGGGAAACATTGCGTCGCGGCCAGGACCGCTTACACTTTTAGAATTGCGGCCACGCGTGCGACGGCGCGGCGTGGAAGGGTCAGGCTAGCGGCAACACGCGCGGGCAGGGCTAGCTCACGCAGCAGGGAGATGTCAGATGCACTCGCGAGAGGGCAGTCGCGAGGGGGCACGTGGGGTTAGGGAAAGGCAGGAGCAGGCTGGAGAAACAGTGACGAACCAGAGGCAGGCCGAGGCCAACAAGCGTGGCGCAGAGGGAGGAGGCATCAACGGCAGCAGGCCAGCACACACACACATATATATGTATATATATATATAGATATATATATACACACACATACATACATACATACACACACACACTTTCGGTCGGCGCGGGCGAGCGCAGCGCCACGCCACAGGCAGAACGAGGACCCTGAGGGCAGGACAGGGACAGGGATGAAACAGCGGAGACACACACACACTTTTGGGCGTCGCGGCCCCGCGCGCAGCGACAGGGCGTCCAAAGTTGGAAGAGGTAACGCGCGCGCGCGACCTGCGGCCGAGCCCTTTAGCCGCTCAGAGCACACACGCACACGCGCACACACGCACACACGCACACCTGTGTGTACATATATCTGTACAGATACCGATCGTGGCCAGGCTCACCCTGTGCCCAAGATCGGTGCGCGCGCCCTCCTGGCTTGGCCAGGGAGGCGCCTGGTCTTCGGCCGCGGTCGCGCCTGGCCAAGATCGGTGCATGTTGAACACACGTGACGGCATAGCGGCCTGTCGCGGTGGCTTGCGCAGGCCGCCAACGTGACAATCGTTCCCATTTCCATGCGTCGCTCGCCTGCCGCTCCAGCTCCTGCAGCAGCGGCACCAGGGGCATGCCCCGCCACCTGTCCGTGCGCACCTGCTGCATGACGCTGTGCTCCAGGTGAGCCTGCAGCGAGCTCAGGCGCTCCGACTTCGGCACCTTGAGGCTTCATCCATGGGGCCGGAGTAGATGGGGTTGGAGGATTGCGCCGAATCGCCAATGCATCATCGGCGCCGTCGGCGTGGGAAATTGCTCCACATCGAGCCGCGTCGTCGATGCATCGGCGATGCGGCACAAACCTCCGACTCCATCTACTGGGACCGCATTTGAGAGGCCTGGAGCACCCGGTTCTTCCACGTGCCGCTCGCTCGCGTGTCGGGGAGGCTTTTCTGCCTGGCGATTCGCTGGCGCGGGCTGGACGAGCCTGGCGCTGGATGGTCCGCGTGGTCCCTCGTCACACCCTGGGCCGCCAGCGAGGCCTCCTCATCCCTCACTTTGGTTCTCCTCCTCCTCCTCCTCCTCCTCCTGCTCCCTCTCCTCCTCCTCCTCCTCCTCCTCCTCCTCCTCCTCCTCCTCCTCCTCCTCCTCCTCCTCCTCCTCCTCCTCCTCCTCCTCCTCCTCCTCCTCCTCCTCCCCCTACTCCTCCTCCTCCGCCTTACAAACATCGTGATCATCACCACCATCATACGCACATTCCTCTTTTTCCTCCTGTTTTCCTTCGTCTCTGGCCAACCCGCCCCCTCGCGGGGGTTTGCCAAATGGGGCTTTTCCCCTGGGCTCCCTCCTGGCCAACCACTGCGAGGGTAGGATGGTGAACCCAGACCACCAACGTGATGACTTTTTCGCGCGACGTGTACGTACACCCCTGGAGTTCTCCAACTGATCCCGAGGACAAGAGTTTCGTCTCGGAGTCGTTATCGGATGGCCCCAGGGCGCCCGAAATCTCGAAAACACCATGGTCGCGTTGTTTTGCTGAGCGCGTGGAAGGCTGGGCACAAGGGACGAGGAAGGCAAGGATATGCAAAAAAAATAATAGCTTGCGGCAACTTGCAGCCGCATACTCTCAAACAAGATGGGGAATGAAACTGGCTTCTGAACATCGGCACGACTAATTGATCAAAGGCGGCCAACGGGCACAAACACGTGCTGCGCCGCCGGGCGCCCTCTTACCTGAGACAAAGACAACATGATGATAAATCTGGATGAGGATGAATCGGGAATCTCTGACTACTGGCGGGTCTGCAGGACGCATCGGGCGCCGCCGCCCTTCCAGAGCGCTCCAGAACTCTCTGAGAGTCTGAGAGCGTTGCAGAACGCTCCAAGGTGACCTATGCATACTGCTCATGTCCACCCCGCTCCTGACCGCGACCCCTCCCCCCAGAGCATGAGGCGCAGTCTCAACGGGTCAATACTGCAACCCCAGGCCCACTGCCCCCTGCTCGGAGCGTTCCAGACTCCCTTGCAAGTAGCAGGAGGAGGAGGACAAGGATGAGGACGGGTGGAGGCTGGGGCCTGGGGCCTGGCCGTGGGACTTGATGGGCCGCCTGGGAACTGCCTAGTACAACACTGACGACGCCACCCGGCCCAAGTCTGAGATCTGTAGGGGGCGCCCGCGAGGGCGCAGATCGCCAGGCCCGGAGCTCTGCGGCGCCGCGCCCGCCCAACATCCCCCCCCGAATCTTGAGTGGCAGCCTGCGGAGGTTATGGAGGGCACGCAGCTTCGATTCAAGTGCGCGGGTGCGTGCGTGTGTGTGTACGTGTGTGTGCGCGTGCGTGCGCGTGCGCGTGCGCGTGTGCGCGTGCGCGTGTGCGCGCGCGTGCGCGTGCGCGGTGTGTGTGTGTGTGTGTATGTGTGCGTGTGTGTGTGGGGGTGCATGGTGTGTATGTGCATGTGCATATGCATGTGCATGCGCATGTGCATGTTATATGTGTGTGCGTGTGTGAACGTGTGTGCGTGTGTGCGTGTGTGCGTGTATGCGATTGTGTGTGTGCGCATGTGTGTGTGTGTGTGTGTGCGTGTGCGTGTGTGTGTGTGTGCGTGTGCGTGTGCGTGTGCGTGTGCGCGTGCGTGCGTGCGTGCGTGCGTGTGTGTGCGCGTGCGTGTGTGCGCGTGCGTGTGTGCGCGTGTGCCAATGTATGTATGTATGTACATCGGTATATGTATATGTATATGTACATGTGCATGTGTATGTGTATGTGTATGCGTTTGTGTATGTGTATGTGTATGTGTATGTGTATGTGTATGTGTATGTGTATGTGTATGTGTATGTGTACATGTATGTGTATGTGTGTGTGCGTGTGCGTGTGTGCGTGTGCGCGTGTGTGCGCGTGTGCGCGTGTGCGCGTGTGTGTGTGTGTGCGCGCGTGCGTGCGTGTGCGTGTGTGCGCGTGTGTGCGTGTGCGTGCGTGTGTGTGAGCGCGTGCGTGTGTGCGCGTGCGTGTGCGCGCGCGTGTGCGCGTGCGTGCGGGTGTGTGGGTGTGTGGACAAACGGCGCGTGCCGTGGAGGGAGGGGGGGGGACGTTGGCGCGTGGTGCGTGTGCGTGTGCGTGTGGCGCGTGCGTGTGCGTGCGCGTGTTCGTGTGCGTGTGTGGGCGTGGTGGGGTGTGTTGGAGTTTTGGGCGTGTGGGCGTGTGGGTGCGTGCGTGTGGTGTGCGCGTGCGTGCGTGCGTGCGTGGGTACGTGTGTGCGTGAGTGCATGCGTGCGTGTGTGATGGCGTGGGCGGCGTGTGTGCGTGCGTGCGTGCGTGCGTGTGTGTGTGCCTGTGCACGTGTGCGTGTGTGTGTGTGCTTGCGTGCGTGCGTGTGTGCGCGCGTGTGCGCGCGTGCTTATGCGTGCGTGCGTGCGTGCGTGCGCGTGTGTTCTTGCGTGTGCTTGTGTGCGTGCGCGCGTTCGTGCGCGCGCGTGTGCGCGTGTGTGCGCGCGTGCGCGTGTGCGCGTTTGGTTGTGCATGTGTGCATGCGTCTCTGTGCGTGACTGTGTGCGTTGTTGCGCGCGCGTGCGCGTGTGAGTGCGTGCGCGTGTGCGAACACGCGCGCGCGTGCGCGTGGTCGCGCGCGCGTGCGCGTGAGTGTGCGCGTCCACGTGCAAACCCGCGTGCGCGCGCGCGTGCGCGTGCGTGTGCGCGTGCATATGCGCGCGCGTGTACGTGTGCGGGTGCGCGCGCAAGCGCGCGTGCGCGTGCGCGTTCGCGCGCGCGTGCGTGTGCGTGCGCGCGCGCGCGTGCGCGTGCGTGCGCGCGTGCGCGCGCGTGTGGGCGTGCGCGCGCGCGCGCGTGCATGCGCGCGTGCGCGTCGTGCGTGCGAGAGCGTGCGCGCGGGCTGCGCGCGCGCGTGCGTGCGTGCGTGCGTGCGTGCGCGTTGCGCGTTGTGCTGCGCGCGCGCGCGCGCATGCGCGCGCGAGCGTGCGCGTGCGCGCGTGCGCGCGCGAGCGTGTGAGCGCGCGTGTCTGCGTCGGCGTCTGCGCCCGCGTCTGCGTCTGCGTCTTTGTCTGCGCGCGCGGGGAGCTCCACCGATCACCCATGGGGCCCCGGGCTCTCGCCAGCTCGCGGCCGCGCGGCGCGCGAGGATGCCCTTCGAAACACTGCGGATTCCCATGGGAACCCCAGTGGTGGATTCTCTAGGAAATCAATTGAACTCCTTAGGAAGTCTATGGGAGCCCTTCGGAAATACCTCAGATCCCCCAGGACATGCGCGAGACCCCCCGGGGACGCAGCGCCCCAGCGACGCGCGCGGCAACACGCCGCCGCGGCGACGCGCTGGAGCTCCGCAAGATCCCTTGGGAGACCTATCGGATTTCTCGGGGCGCCCATGGAATTCTGTCGGAGATCCACGGGCCCCCTTGCGAACTCCATGGGGTTCCTTCTGACGTAGTTTTGATTCTCGCGGGCGCCCATGGGGGCCCCTTCGAAAATCCACAGGGCGCCCCGCGACATCCATGGGGCAGCTCAGAAAAAGCAAAAAGAGGAGGGGAAGAGGGGGGGGGGGGGGGGGGGGGGGGGGTTGGCAAGAAGAAGGAATAAGAAGGATGGGGGCATAAGGCCATTGGGAAAGGGGGCTCCTCTCAGCTTCCTCGGCCGCGAGCCTCTTGGCCCCGAGGTCCCCGAAGAAGCTCGTCGCAGAGGCGATGCCCTCGCAGGGCGAGGCTCGGAGCCTCCCGCGGCAGCCCGGGGTCTCCGCGGGCGAGCTCGCGAGACCCCGGCGGGCCGACAAGCTCGACTGCTTGGTCGGCGCCCCTGCGCTGTCTCGCCCCATCGAGGCCTCGCTGCAAAGCTGCTCTGGCTCGAGGCTCGAATCCTTAAGCCAGCGTGGCCGCGGGTCGTCGTTAGCTTATGGTTGCTCACTCGCTGTTAGTGGTTTCTGCGCCCTGGCTTCTCGTTGCTGCCGTTGCCCGCGATTCTCGTCGGCGCCGGTAGTCTCTGGCCGTTAGCCCGCGAATCCTTGGGAAACTCGCAATGCACACAGGATTCCTTGGGATATCCTTTTGGACCCTCGGGAAACCCATCGGTTTCCTTAGGACATCCACAGGGCTCCTTCGGGAATCCTTAGATTCCCCTTCAGAAAATCAATGGAGCCCCTTCAACATGCCATAAGATTCCTTCGGGTTGCCATGCAACTTCTCATGAAATCCATAGGGCGCCTTAAGACACCCATGGAAATCCTGCGGGGAAACCGTCAGAATCCTCATGGATTCCATAGGAATCTTTCGGACATTCCTAGGAGTCTTTACGGAAATCATCGGACATCCTGAGGTATCCGCAAGACGCCCATTATATTCCACGGGATATTCATTGAATGCCTGAAAACATCAATAGGACACCTTGGGAACCAATTCAACTTTTTAATGAAATCTACAAGGCGCCTCCGGAAATCCACGGGAGACGGGGGGAAAACCATCGGACCCCTAGATTGGATTCCTTTGGAAATTCGCAAGAGTCGTCTGGAAACCAATAGGGCACCTCAAGATATCTGCATGACCTCATTGGGAACCATATGATGTCCTGCGAAAGCCACCGGAATCCTTCGGACATTCATGGGATTCCGGATGAAATCCATAGCCTTTAGGACAGCCTAAAGACTCCGCGGGATATCCACAGGCTTCCTCAGGGAGTCCATACATCCCTTCGGGAATCAATGGGCATCCTCCCAGGATCCATTGGATTCCCCAGGAATACCTCACGACGTCCATCGGGCGCCGGAAGAAATCAATACAATTCCATTGGGACCCCCTTGGGAAAGCATTGGGATCCCTGAGGAAGCCCGCGGGATTCCTTAGAATATCCATAAGATCCCCGAAGAATTCCATGGGAATCCTTCGGACATCCACAAGATTCATCCGGATATCTGAGGAAATCCTTTGGACATCCATCGGGTTCCTTCGGAAATCCATAGGGACCCTTGGGGGGTCCATGTCCCTTTGGACATCGTTAGGATTCCCTAGGATGGGCTTAACATTATTTAGGG